GGGCTGTGCCACCGGCTGGGAAGGCACTGCGTCCTCACAGAGCGCTGCTCGCAGTAAAGAGCGAAAAGTAGTTGAAGTTGTGCTCTAGGAACATGTATTTAAAGACAGGCGGAAGAGTAAGAGATGGATAAACAATGACCTGTCAAAAAGTTAGGCGACATCTGTTTAGGGAAAAGGCTGGGAGGCAGCGTGTGAAGAGAATGCTAAATTCACTGTTCTGCGCATTAATAACACAACAGAGAGCAAAACAGGCTTCATCTGGGAGAAAATCTTTATGATTAGCAAGAAAACGTCCACTGGGGTTAATCCAATCAATGACAGTTTTTTAAAGAACAGTTTAGACCAGCATAAATCTGTGGGCATCTTGGCTGGATGCTAATTCACTATTCTGCATGTTAATACACACTAAAGAGCAAAACAAACTTAATCTGGGAATAAATATTTATGATTAGCAAAAAAGATGAACTGGGGTTAATCCAATCAATGCCAGTTTTTTAAAAGAATGGTTTAGACATACATCTTTGGGCATCTAGGCTGTCCAGAGTCTTTGTAAGAGAGGGAGAAATGCTCTGTAGATCTCTTGCAACAGTCTTACTGTGAAGTATTTAATTACTACAGGAACCTGTTAACCAATTAATAGTAATCATTGTTGACCAGCTTTACTGCATAAGCACATGTTGCATTGTTTTGGACATCTGCCCGGGGAGGTGGAACTCCAAATGCTGGAGAGAATGGTCATTTTCACACTGTGTTTTTGATTGTGTCTGAGATCTAACCATCCTTGGGTCAGTGAGTATTGACACCAGCAGAGCACTGAAATGATTCAGTAGAGGTTACTGTGCATATAAATCACACATAGCTCCATGACTTCCTTGGTCATTTGCAGTGTCTTCATTTTTAGTCAATGAATTTATGTGCCAAATCTCATCTTTACATGTTATTTCACTTTAAAAAAAAAAGGCACTTGTATTTAGGGTCAGCTAAAAATCAACCCCTGATTATTACTCTCACTGTAATTCTTTCTAAATTCCTCCAGAGGACTAATTTGGTTAATACGTAAAAAAATGTGTAGTTTATTCTACTTAACTTTACTCAAATCTATATAGAATCATAGAATTAGGGGAGGCTTTATATACTTCTCTGTACTACATGTTATATGTTGTTTTCCATTGTAGTTTGAGGCATATACCCTTTTAGTAATACAGTATTTTTGATAGTGATTGCTGAAGTTTGCATGTCAGAGGGGCAAAATTAACATTTCAGCATTTAACAGTTATGTATTGTTTCATGTTCTCGGAATATACGTTACATCTATATACTGCTCCTCATTTGATGACTTGATCTTTAATGTTACAGAAGTGTACCTAAATGCTAGATATTAAACATTTATTTTCTCCAATAGTCAGGACAAAGAATCTTCATTTCTGTGACATGGACACCAGTAGAAGAAGGAAAAGTCCGAGAACTGATAACTTTTGTTGTTAATGGCATTGTAAAGCATCAAGCTGTGCTCCTTGGGGCTGCTGAGCAGCCCCCGAAGAAAAAGGTGAGTGTGTCTTAATTCTGTTACTTTGCCATAGCTGACACAGATTTTTTTATTTTGTTTTTAATGAATAGAAATTCACTGAAGGAGAATTAAAAATAAATTGATAAATGATGCTGTCTGTTAAAATGCTCGTTGTACTGATGCATTACAGCTTGGAGAATAAAACTAAAACACATCTGAAAAAACTATTTTCAAGCCTGGAAATAACTTACAGTGAATTTTGGGTTAGCTGTTCTTTTTATAGTATTTCTAAACTTTGAATGAAGTGCTACTAATGTTCACTTTTACACATAGTAATATTTACAAAGTTAGCATACTAACTTTTACTTATGGTTCTTTTTCAGAGGAGTCTTTGGGATACATTAAAAAAGAAAAAATCTTCAGAAACATCTGCTGGAATTAAAGTTAAAAAAAGTACTTCAGAAATTAAGTATGTTAATAAAACATTCCAAGTTTCTCAGAAGGTGGATAGACTTAGAAGTCCACTTCAGTCATGTGAAAATCAGAATGCAGTACACAATGACACATCCCCAGGAAAAGACCCTCTTGTTGGCTCAGAAAATGCATTGCCCATATCTCCTATTGCTCCAGTGCCAGAGGAACAACGTAGCACTGTTTGCACACCAGTTGCAATGAGAAGATCTACTACATTTGCAGATATTGCTGCCTCTGTAAATGAGGAGTTGCTCCCTGAAATAGAGAGCCATAATATCAGGAGATGTGTTAATGAACACAATGAAGTGCAATCTGCGAGTGCCTACAGTTCTGGATTAGCTCAACTGCCAATTTCAAACAATGGAGCTGTTCTCAATTACACTCTCTCACCAGTTTGCACCCCGGAGCACTCACCATCTGTGCCCCTTTTAAGTACAAGGAGAATTTTAAGTCCTGATACTTTTGTAAATAACAATTATCAAGTGGGTGTAGAAATAATAGAGCAGCCTTTTCCAATTCTGTCCCCTGATCAGTTTGTGAAAGAGAACTTGTCACATAAGCAATCAAAGACTCCTAAACCTGAGGCAGCTTTAATATCATCTACCACAGAGACTTATGTTGTAAAGAGATTTCTACCCTCAAGATGGAAGAAAGATGAATATGTAGAGACAGAAAGACATGTTCACATAGAACACAAGTGCAGTGAAGTCTTTGAGGTGCATAACGTGGAATCACAGGTACTTCATTATGACAAACCCGAAGAAAATCACTGCAGCATTCCTTCTACAGTGGGACTTCAGACTGACAATTCTTCTCGGAGAGAACAAACAAAAAAGCGACCGATTCTTTCTGCCACTGTCATAAAAAGGAAACCTGGTGCTACTGAAGAAAAAAGAATGGAAACCCACCAGCCCAAATCTAAAAAATGCCTTAATAAAGCAATAATAGAATGTGCTAATGTGGTGCCTATACATACAGAAGCAGAAACATGTAAACTGCCAGTTTCAGGTCCCATTTCAGCTGAAAATCAGTGTCACATTGACAAAGTAAATTCATCTCCTACTGGATCAGCTTTGTGTCGTAAGAGAAAAAGTGAAGTACATGTAGGAAATAGTAGAGTTACAGCTCCAGTGTATGGAGAAGAAGTGGAAAGAAAAAGACCTCTGACATCTAACATGGACAATCAAATGCATACAACGATGAGATCATCAGCCTTCAAACCCACAAATCGAGAGAGAGTAGGGCAGAGAAAGAAAGCTGGTGAGTCATGTTTCCTTCATTTATCATTTTCTGAAAGATGCCTTTGATTATGAAATGCGTTTAGCAAACTGAACTGTCCAGCAACATTCAACAATATTTCATCTCTCTGAAATGCCTTTGTGGTTTGTTAGGTATCTGCATTTTAGAACTTTAAAAACTAGAGTAGCATTTTGGTTGTTTAATTGGCTTCAAATTTATTTTATTACTGTGTAAATTTGTTAATGACAATAAAGGAAGAGGATCAGATAGTTCTTGAGCAGAGCCCTTGGTACACAATTCAAATTTACTAGAAACTTAGTGCATGAGATTCGTCATATGTACATTTACTATTGTCAGTATTTGACTCATTGCTATTGTCATATGTTTTCAAATATAGAATCACTAAGGTTGGAGAAGACCTCTAAGACCATTGAGTCCAACCATTAACTCAGCACCCCTGTGTTCACCACTAAACCATAACCCCAGGTGCCACATCCATGTGCTCCAGCGATGGTGATTCCCCCATTTCCCTGGGCAGCCTGTTCCAATGCCTGACCACCCTTTCATTGAAGAAGTTCCCAAGTCTTGTTCACTCTGCCTGCTTTTTACAGTCTGTAACTAGCATGTTGTCAGCCTTGTGTAGATCTTTCTGCCTTTAATGTTTGCCAAGACTTCGTTGCTTGAGGATCAGAAAAAGTTGTATTTCAATGTATTTTGGGTCTTCTAAATGTTCCATCCCCAAGTATGCCCTGGTATGTGAAAAGAATGAGGGTCTAACTTAAAGATGCATTTAATTTGCAGAATTTAACTAAGAGGAAAAATTAATCATGAATTTCAGATCAAAATAACATATGCTGCTTTCTTCAGTTCAAGTGATGTGTTCTGTGCTCTGAGGCTTTCAGTAATGCACTTTGATGTCAGGCTTTTTAAGATGGTCTAAGCTCCATCTTATATGCACCTTAACATTGTTTCCACGAGTTTCTGTTCCATCATCATCTCAGGCACAGATGTGGGGCTTACCAGCCTGTAGTTCCCTGCATCCATGAATCTTCCTTTCTCCCCTTTTAAAATCATCATTATCTTTTATTTCTGAATCTTGCCAGACTGCAGCTGTACTTCAACACGATCCTTTTTTCATCCTTCGTTTGGTGTTAATGTAAGAAAATTATCATGCTACAAGGCTTTGTTTTACCATGTTGAGAAAGCCTAGATCTGTGTTTTTTTCTTGTGTTTAAGTCCTGCTATAGCTGTGTGTTGGATAATGATTATTAACTAGTACCTTAATAACTAAACTGAACTAACACAAGTCAGACTGCTTTAAAATGAGAATCAGTGTAGTAAGCCACATAGCTGTGTGAAGAGGTGAATAAAGCCCTAAAATTCATCTCTTTTACCCAGATGTTTATAGAATAAACACTTTACCATGTTCTAATGAATGTTTGTACAAATCAGCTTAGTGCTTCTAGCCATATAATAATGAAATGCAGACAGTACATTTCTGTAGCATATGGAAGAACTGTGAAATTATGAGAGCACATATTTACTCTTATCTATTTTTCCCTTTTATTTGTAGCCAAACTGGTTTGTGTAACTTTCCATCAACAGGAGGTTATTGATATTTTGAGTGGGTTCATGGGGAATTACTCTAGTTCTGTGCTTTAGAAGTGATACAAACTTTAATACATTAGCTTTAACTGACGCATTTGTTGTTGATACTTTATGTTAATGTGTGTAGGTTCTTCACTTCAGAAAGCATCTAAAGCGACCAAGAGAATTAGTAAACCCATCCTTGGATTGGCCCAGTCTCACCTGACATTTGTGAAACCACTGAAAACAGGTAGGCAGACTCCTGAGGTTTACTAAAACACCATACACTGAGCTGCATGGCACAATTGTACTGCTTATGTCTGGTAAGAACCAACTGGCTAGAGTTGAGATAAAATAGAAGATTGTACCTAAAATGAATCTAGATCTAGTAGAAAAATATACATAACCTTTTGTGTTCTGTTTTGACTACTCATAAGAAAATCAGCTGGAACCCATGGTGAACTGAAGGTAAATGTTACTTTCTTCCAGTTTTGCCTTTTAAGTATAAAAGCTACATTATATAGTTATGCTCCCAGCTTACTGATCGTTATCAGTTAAATGCCTCTTCACAACAGAATGCCTAAGAGGAGAAATTTTCTTAACACTAAGATATTAATTTTTTAGCGCTAATAATACTGAACTGATCTGATCAGAAAAATGCATTTATAAAATTGTTGTTTCTGGATGTAATCCAGCTCAACTTACATGCATTGCACGTGGCCTGGCTTCCAGATATCTTATCCTTGTTTTAGTGGTTTAATAACTCAGTTAGTGTTTTGTGGCTGATCTACAAGTCACTGAAGGTTCTAATGCTCTACTTTTTATCTACAGGAGTGCTAAATGGAGTGTCAGATGTCAGTCCTTTCCACAAGTAAATGTACATTGGTTATCAAACATTTCAAGAACTGTAAAGGCTTACCTTCTTTTTTTTTTTTTTTCAAAGCCATCCCTAGGCACCCAATGCCTTTTGCTGCTAAAAACATGTTTTATGATGAACGTTGGAAGGAGAAGCAGCAACGAGGTTTCACATGGTGGTTAAATTTTTTACTTACCCCAGATGACTTCAGTGTGAAAACAAATACCTCAAAAGGTAAGAGTACAAGGATTTTCATTATCTCTTTTAATGTTCTTAGACATTATATAATGTACTTTGTTAATATTGATGAATAGTAGTAGTCAACAATAGTGGCAACTTGTCACTAAAGTCTGTATAATGTTAAGCTCTTGGGTATGATCAGGTGTTTTGGGCTTTAATTTTTGTGTATCATTCATGTTTACCTTTTCAGCCTTCGGCTTAATACTGTGATAAATCTAAACCAAATATTTGGAAGTATGTTTCAGTGTCAGCTATGCTAGAAAATATGGAATATGCTAAACAAAAAGCAGTTTTTACATTGAAGTCAATGCTGGCCACCCCAGTAGAATTTTATAACCATCTAAGCCTTTTCAGTTGCATTTTTTCCATTCTGATAAGTGTGGCTGACACACTTGCTCATGGCAAGCACAGCATATCACACATCTGTATGGAAAGTGTGCTCTGCAACAAGAATGACCTGAAATGTGTGGCTGTGGCACTCCTCAGTGGATGTCCAGTGGGGAATCCTCATCTGCTGGAAGACTTTAGAGCTGACACTTTACTAAAATGATTGTAACCTACTTTTAACTCTGTCTCTAACTTCAGTTGCAAAAAAGACTGTAGATGGTACCACTGATCTGAAAAAGGACTTCCTAGCACTTCTCGCTTCTTAAATAAGAGTTGTTGTATTAAATACTTGACTAGTTTACTTGTACTTGACAATATATCTTTAGTGCAACAGCTGACAAGCATCCTGAAAGATAAACCATTAGGAAAATAGAAAAATGTCAACTTAGAAAGGGTAAAAAAAATAAATGAGGTGGGCAAAGCTTCAAGACGTAAGTGCATACTCTTTGTGTGTGCTTGAACAGTAAATGCAGCTGCTCTTATCCTGGGAGAAGAGAACCATCATAAAATGAGCCTTCCTAAAGCACCAACTAAAGATGAAGCATCTCTGAAAGCTTATACAGCTCATCGTAAGCTGAATAAGTTACGCCGTGAAGCTTGTCGTCTGTTTACCTCTGAGACAATGGTTAAAGCTATCAAGAAATTGGAAGTTGAGATTGAAAGTAGGCGCTTGCTAGTTCGTAGAGACAGACACCTCTGGAAGGACATAGGTAAGAGTACTGAGACTTGGCATTCTCCCTTTCCTTGTATGTAGAAAAAGGGATTATTTGCACACTAAGTTGTTTTAATTTTAAATTGGTTAATAGAAACTTTTGCATTGATACGAAATGTTTGCTGGATGTAATATTACAAGATGCTCTTTTGCAGGGGAGAGGCAGAAAGTGCTTAACTGGCTTTTATCTTACAACCCGTTATGGCTGCGTATAGGGCTTGAGGTAAGTGCACTGTGCCGAGTCTATAATCTAAGTTTAAAGGACATTGAACAATTTTTAGTAGGGTTTGTTTCAGGTTTCTTTCTATTTTCTGTCTTACATGTTCAGGTGGGTTCGATTCAGTTACAGCACATTTGCATATCTTTTAAATTGTTACAGCATACTTGCTGTAAAAAAGTGTTTACCTTATTAAGGGAAATATTTAGTCAAGGAAGGTGGAAGTTAATTCCCTGACCAATAACACAAAAGCATTTACTTGTCAATTTAACTCTACTAAACTGATGAAGAATATGGTAATTTTAAAGAAATTCCTGATTGATTTCTCAGGTGTAGATGATCATATGCATTTTGAAATGATATTGGATCTTCTGAAATCTCTTTTGGTTTTTACCCTTCAGTGACTTGTTTGAAAACTGTTTGATTTTTAGACTATTTACTGTTTACTATTTCAGAATTTCAATAATGTATGGTATTCCAAAAATAATGCTTAAGATAATTTTAAACACTTCTGCTTTTTTCTCTGTTCATATTAGACTGTTTATGGAGAGCTGATAGCTTTGGAGAGTAATAGTGATGTTATGGGTTTAGCACTATTTATCCTTAATCGCTTGCTTTGGAACCCTGAGATTGCAGCTGAGTACAGACATCCCTCTGTGCCTCACCTTTACCGAGAAGGTAACTACTACTTCAAAAAGAAGTGGGTTTTAGCACTTCCTTTCTACACTGTCACTTAATGGATTCTGTTGTTTTAGGTCATGAAGAAGCTTTGTCAAAATTCACACTGAAGAAATTGCTGTTGTTAGTTTGCTTTCTGGATTGTGCCAAACGGTCCAGAATGATTGCCCATGACCCTTGCCTCTTTTGTAAGGATGCAGAGTTTAAGGTGAGAAAGCTGTGATTTGATGTCTCCTTCCAATATTGTCCTAAGACTCAAAGTAGAATGTATTTATGTATGTATTTATTTATTTTTAATCTGACTGTGCTTTCACAAGTCCTGGCTGTTCAGCCTTTTGCATGAACATTCTCAACACATTGTCTCCCGGTCATGTAAAGGAATTCCCAAGAAAATTCTGAGGGTTTGGCAAGTCAGTTTGGTGGACTTATCTTTTTTTTTTTTCTGATGCTTTGCTGTGATAAGAAAGTCCATGCAACATCTGCCATACAGAGGCTTTGATGACTAAATGTGTTATGCTGAAATAAAATCACTTTTCTTGGGTTTGTCCTGTGCAGACAGACTGAGAAAAATATATTCTTGAATCTGTTGGTATTTTCAGGGGCGTGGCGGCCAGGTATGACAAATTAAAGCTCTGTGAACTGGCTAAAAAATAACTTTAAAAAAAACTAGCAATATGAATAAATGGGAAATATGAGATTTAAGTTGGGGGTCAAGAGATGAAAGTTGTATTCTGTTTGACAAATATTGTAGTGTTAAGATGATTTTTTTTATTTTTTTTTTAGGCTAGCAAAGACCTTTTGCTTGCGTTTTCTCGAGACTTCCTGAGTGGTGAAGGTGACCTTTCTCGCCATCTCGGTTTCTTAGGACTACCTGTCAGTCATATTCAGACTCCACTTGATGAATTTGATTTTGCTGTGAGCAATCTGGCTGTGGACTTACAGTGTGGCATTCGTCTTGTGTGAGTTGACCCAGAATTAGTTTTAAATATTTCTTTTATGTAATACTTCATCTGAGCTCAGCTAAGGCATTAAACTGTGACATTACCTTTGTTAGGAGAGCAATGGAGCTTCTGACCAAAAACTGGAATCTTTCTAAGCAACTGAGAGTGCCTGCAATAAGTCGTCTACAGAAGATGCATAATGTTGACATTGCCCTTAAAGTCCTTAAAGAGCGAGGAATTCACTTGAAAGATGAAAGTGGTAAGGCCTAGAATTCAGGGTTATTCTAAGTGGATCAGCTAAAGAGTCCACATTCTGATTCCTTTTTTTAATTTGATAGGCTCTTTAATTGACTCCAGAGATATTGTGGATAGACACAGAGAACGAACACTAGCACTTCTGTGGCAAATGGTCTTTGCCTTCCAGGTACTATTCAATTGCTTATTTTGTTTGTTTCTAGTTAAAGAGGGGCAGTAATGAAAACACCAGTCTTTTGGGATTATTGGTTGTCTCTGAAAACCTCTACTAATCAAATTTTAGCCTGAAGAGATTCACTTTGTGTATTCAAAGTGCCACACAAACTTTACCTAAACTGCTAACTTTTCCCTAATGATACAGTTTGGATAACGTTTTAACTGTGCTTTTTCTTATATACAATTTTTGGAAAAAAATGAACTTTTGAGTTTATGCTGTATACTACCAGAATTGCTACTTAAAAGTAAAGTAATGTTGCTTTCATACTGATGGTAAACTTACTAGCTGAAAAGGACATTTTGAGGTTTCACTGATAGACAGCTATACAGTAAGCTCTGAAGCTATAGCTCATCTAGTTTTTTCCATTTATCTGAAACAGTTTGAAGAAACATTCTTGCAATAAAAATGAATATTACTTAGGCATTCC